ACGGAGCTCGTACGCGAATGTTATGGAAAGTCGGAAGCAGGGATTACGCCCCGCGTACTCTGGGAGTACGCCCCGCGTACTAGACCCAGAGTCGGGTCTCATCAACCCGCCCAAGCTACGCTCGGCTAGACCCAGTAGTCCCATCGACCCGCCCAAGCTACACTGGCTAGACCCGAGTCGTAAGCCATGACGCCACTTTACGCCCCGCGTACTCCGGAAGTACGCGCCGCGTACGGGGTTTTCCAGCCCTATAAATGGAAGGCATAAGCTTCGAGTTTAGGCACACCTTCACCATTTCTCAGCCATTCTCCCAGTTCCAGAGACCATTTCATTGCCTCGGTTTCCGCACTCGAGCCCCCGACGAAAGATTTACGTTGCAGAGATCCCCGAAGAGCCCGACGACGCAACTATCCGCGATCGAAACTCTGCTCAACTCTAGCCCCTCTCTTCAAACTTAACGAGTGAGTTCATACCCCTACTTTTCAATTCTTTTCATGTTTTAGGGGGGAATACAAGTACATTACACGTTAAAAGTATCGTTTTATAAACATAAATGAAATTTCTAACTTCGAATATCGATACAAACATCTTATGTATACAAGGGCGAGTATATCACTAAGTTATTTCTACGAAATGGAACATACTATCTGAAAAACTATAATGGGTATAGTTAGCAAGTCAATCCTACATTTTATACAATTTGAAAAACGAACCACTTTCAAAAGAAGTAAGGTTATTTCATTGTAAATCTATTTATACTAGTCAATGTGAGACATTTAAACTTCAACGTACATTTTTGTATGCATTTCAAGTCCTGTATTATATACCATAATCTCTTGGAGGGAGAGCGTGATACTTGTGTATAGATCTATACGGGATTGACAATCCCGCACCTAAACTACTAGCTATAGTTAGACCGGCAGGTCTGGGTGACAAATGTCATAACACTGCAACACTTGAAGAATGTTGTTACAGGCCGTCAGTGTCAATAGTATGGTTATAAAACTCACATAAAAAGTATAAAACAAGATTGATTTACGAGATTCATATGTGCATCGCAGTTTTCCTACATTATAATTTCATACTAAATTATTGTCATTATTGTTTATAAAAGTTACTAATACATTTCCAGCTTTGGAACCTTTTTCATTTTACAAGAAAATATTGGATTTTCTAAAAACCTCGTTTACCAATTTACTACCAAAAGGAATATACTTTTCAACTCGGAGCACTCATGAACTCACCAACTTAATTGTTGACACTTTTCAAAACCACTTGTATTTCTCAGGGAATCAGTGATACATGTAAACTACCAGCTTTTGGAAGAAGGAACACAAAGGATGATTTTATCATTAAACATTTATTCATCATATTGTAATACTCTTTTGATAACATGTATAACGCAACAATACATGTTTTCATTTTTATATATATGATGGTTGTGTTACTTTCTTTACAATATTCAGTCGTTGTGATACTACGTGAAGTCATCCACCCCCGAATGTTTCCGCCATTCTGGTTTGGGGGTGTGACATCTTGCCTTTGGGGATGTATCCCCGGGTTGCAAACTTGTGGCTCTATATCAGTACCACTTGACTCGCTGTCCTCAAAGGGTTCTTCGTCTGAGTCTTCTTCTGGATCTTCCTCTATCCATCCTTGATTGCCATGATTTAGAAAATAAGGGTCCCCTGGTAGATGATGTCCTACCATTGTGTCTGTACGAGAATAAGGTTAGGAGAAATGCCTGACAAACTAAAGCATATCAATGTTTACATATTTTTATAGTATTTTAGGTTATGTTCTAAAGTTTCTTCTGTAGTTGGTAAGTTTTAGATACGTCACAACACTACTATTACTCCCAAACACATATTGGTCATATCTGAAATCAATATAGTTGATAAGGCTATATTAATTCTAGATGTGATTACATAACTATCCGGGTTTGAATGTAATGTTCAACATCCAAATACTTTTAAGTTCTTATGACTATGTACTTGTACGTATGAGGGTTAGTATACTTCTTGTAAAAATACTTAGAATTCTTAAAAATATACTTGTAGTCAGAGTTCTCAGCCCCAATACATTTATAGTTTGTATATCTTTTATGGATTGATATACTGAGTTCACTATAAACAATGCTCTGATACCAATCTGCCACACACCCCCAAATCAAATGGCGGAAACGTCCGAGGGGTGGAGGACTTCATTTGTAGTATCACAACACATGCATCATAGTAATCAAAGTACAAACAACCATTGTATTTAAAAGTATAATATTTACATGTGTTCAATCATTGTATATTGAAACCAAAATAGTTATACAAAAGAAGAAGATAAGACTCATAATGGCTCCATCTTCTCAAAAAGCTCGGGGAGTACCTGTTATTATTTCCCTTAGAATACAAGTAATTTGAAAACAGAGTATCAACAATAAGTTGAGTGAGTACATAAGTCTTTATGTTTACATGGATGTCTTTGTATGTTGAATATGAAAATTGTTCTAGAAAATCCTGCATTTTCTGTGGTATGTGAAAAGTAGTTTTATTCCCATAAAACCGTCCTATTTGTGAACCAATGTATTTGTAAAACTGGTAACTGAGTGTGTGCCTGACTTCACCAGCTGTTATTGAAATCTGTAGTATACCATTGTACTTTGTATTTTGTAAACTAGTACTTTGGAGATGTACTTACGTTTATTTGTTTATACACTAACGTGTTGTTAATATCTTTTTAATGAGTTATTATAACCATACTAAGACCTGAACGCCTGAAACAAACGCATTGTGAGCGCTTAAACTGTTAATAACAATTGCCACTCCTTGGCGTGTATGCCTGACTGTAGCTAGCAGCCTGAGTGCGGGGTTGTCAATCCCGATATAGATCTACACACAACTTGTTTTGAACCCCGGACTGGAGATTCTAGTTATAATGTCAGGGCTTTACCTTGGTTGTCTAAAATGAATTAAACAATCTGAATTGGATATCTCATAAAAAGCATATAAACATTGCATGTATATTAGTTATGAAAACCCAATCATTCTGAAAGAAATGGTTGATAATATATTCTTGAATTAGTATTCCGAACATGTATTTGACAAATGTAAACCCTTGATTTGTTTTGAATTAAAACCCTTGTTTCATGTAAAACAGTGAATTCATGTATACTTAAATCATGAAGTATTGCTCTATGTATTATAAATTATACCTATTATAATTTATATGTACTTTATGAATTGGTAATAACTATTTTTGCATGTAATCCTTTGCTCAACATATTACAAAGGGTATTTAAACTGATGAGATAACTTATATATTTATATACATAAACAATTTTATATATCCAAATATATATATTTAGGAAAAATATAAGTTTATAAAAGAGTTCAATATTTGGAGTATTTTTTATGCTTTAAAATCGTTTTATCGTGATTTGAAATCATTTATTTATAACACAAAGTTTTTGTGTTATACTTGTATTCCCCCCCCCCCCCCCCCACACACATTAAAACAATAGAAATTATGAAGATATAGGGATATGAACTCACATGATAGATGGTAATTTGGACAGAGTTTTAACAGGAGAGAGGATGAATTCTCAAGAATTTCAAGGCTTCAAGGCTTACTTCGGGTTCGAGTCTTAATACTGGGGATTTAGGGGTTGTATATGAACTTAGGGGTGTGGAGAATGTGAAAGAGGGTGAAATTTGGGGTGAAAAAGTGAAAATTCTTTGGAGCCCTCGCATGCCTTATCTAGGCCGAAGCCTCGGATCCGAGCCCATGCGAGGCTGCCTCGTGTCGGACAGGTGGCGGAGGGAGGGGGCTGCTTCGGTTCGGAGGTTCGCTGCTGGCTGGCTCGGATTGGACCGAACTTCGGTCCAATAGAAAGGCAACACGTGCGAACATAAGGGTGCAAGGGGCGTGCGAGGGTGAGGTCTGGTGTGTCTCATGCGATGCTGTCCGGTTCTTACTGGACCTTGGACTTGGTCGAATCAGGAGGTGACACCCGAGGCTGCGGCCCAATCAGAAGACGCCACGTGGAGGCTCGCATGCGAGGGTGACGTGGCGTTACTGTTCATGCGAAAATTCCCGGTTTTTCTTATTTTTGTTTATTTTTTTGCCAAAATTGTAAAATTCATAACTTTCACATACGAACTCCGTTTTTGACGTTCTTTATATGCACGCGTAGGTAAAATTATACTCTACGACTTTCTTTTAGACTTCGTTGGCTAATTTTGAATTTATTTTTAATATTATTATTTTAAACAGACCAGGATGTGAATCCGTTATAAATTCATAACTTCTTCATACGACGTCCGTTTTTGTGTGTCTTTTTACCGTTGTACTACTAATGACAAGACCATCAATTCTTGTTTAGGTTGTGTCGGCTAAAAACCACTCGATCTTTATTTCGAGTTTTTAGTTGTATATTGCTATACTGAAACTTCGAAAAATCATAACTTCCTCATATGAAGTTAGATTTTGGCGTTCTTTTTATGAAAGTTCTCGGTTTAACATAAACTATAACTTGCATTTGGATTGTTAAGGGTAGAAAGCCTTTTATCAAAATTTTAGTTTTTACACTAAACAGTGTTTTGTCGGTTTTGTCGCGGATTTTTGATTGGTCATAACTTATTCGTTATAACTCGGATTTTAGTGTTCTTTATATTTTTGGAAACCTTGTTACAATCTCTATCACTTGGTTTATCCCAATTGAGATTATTTAATAATTTATTTTTGAGGGTCAATTATGTAAATACACATAGTATGCTAAAATTTCTCTTTATTAATTTATAAAGAAGTACAAAATGACCTATACTATTACATAGGTTTGAAATAACGGTTTATTACATCGTTCGACCTCCATAAATACTCAGGAGTCGCAACTGGATCTTCCAATTACATCTAAAGCCTTCAAGTTTCAGTCTTTCATCAAGGTTGCGAATGTTCCCATCTCTGATAATGGTGTTGATTAACTTTTCTTCCAATTTTATCTTAATCACATGAGGCTGCAATATGAAACTTGGAGTGCCAGAAAAATCAAAGAAGTTAAGGTCACCAGACCAATCGATGCTAACAGATTTCCAAATGCAAAATTCAATGTTGCCAGAGGTTCTACGAGTCAAGTTCATGTGTTCACTCTCGCAGACCTCCCATGTATCAATCCTTATGAATGGATAATTCTCTACAAGTTGTTGCTACGAGAGACACAGAAGTACGAAGCTGTCATCCATTACCTTAAGCTTATGATCATTTTGTATATCCAAGAGGTGGGCACTATGGATGTAGAGATAGTTGAAGTGTTATGAAAGAAGCCTACTGTAGTTCCTAAAGAATCTCCTAAGGGGTTTGAAATGTTGATGCTTGTAGAAATCTACATGGAAAGCTTGTATCTTTTCTTTCAAGTGAGGGATAAGAATGATGATGACTATCGCGAAATGTGTTTCTTCCTCCCAGACAAACACTTATACACCGCATCTTGTTTTGAGTTCATCTTGGATCATGTCAACAAATACTAGGCGAACGGTGAAGGTGATAAGAAGTGCTTCTTGGACATGATTCGTTGGTATTTCCAGGTTCATAAAGCATTATTGAGCATAATACCAAATATTTTTGAAGTACAAAAGCGTATACAAAATTGATGTTTGCTCACCTCAATTGACGCAAATGGGGAGATTCTTGGGTATTAGATGTTGCGTTATTAGGATTTTTGTATAGCCTATTATGTAAAAGGTTTGGGGTTGTCCATCCTATATTTATTTCTATAACCCTAATCACACCTCTACAGTAGCAATTCTTTGTCGAGTTCTTCTGATGCGTGACTTTTAATTATTCAACATATTTTGAATCATCGTTGTGTTATTTAATCTATTTGAATCAAAACGATCTTTTCAAGGATTTACATCCTAACAATCAAAAATATTAGAGTGCCACAAAATGCCCAATAACAAAATCTCGCAGCGAGTGTGTACAATAAGATATTCGCCATCCAGCGATCCTCAGAATTACCTGAAACACATATAATCAACAATTATAAGCATGAAGCTTAGTGAGTTGCCTAAAATACCAAATACAACACAACATAAATTAATAGGTATGGGTTATCAGCAACCTTGGGTATTATCAGTAGTTGTAGTGGGAAAAAAACACACCTTGTGGGTTATCAGTAACCCTGGAGACTACCCGAAGTCTCAGTTACACATAACCAACATAGCACAATAATAACAACCAGACCCAGCTGGTCATCACAATAAGATATTCACCATCCATCAATCCTCAGAATTACCTGAAACATATGTAACAAACAAACCCAGCTGGTCATCATAGATGCGTCTATTCTACAACAAATATAAGAATAAGTGAGTAGACTCACCTGATACGGATGACAGATAAATATTACACCCAAACTGTTGGAACTAGACTCCGCCTAATAACACAATAATTAACCCTAATTAATAATTATGGTCCTTAACCCAACTCACATGTCCAATCCCACAACTATGTTCCTTAATGGAACAAGACCATTTTCCCCTCCTATGGCCCGAACCCTAAAACTTTGACAAAAATTCAGAGTCATCAAAAAGTCAACCTCCTAGCGTGTATGTTAGGTGTATGCTTTTTACACACCACATACTTGAAGAATTAGCTAAGTCAGGGTCAAGCCTGGCTAGGCTAGGCGTAGCTAGATGTATGTTGGGTGTACGTCATATGAAATAAGCTTAAACCTTATTTCATTAAGACTTGCAATCCAAACATATATATGACCTCCATAGAGCCTCTTAATCCATAAACTCCATAAGTTTAAACCTTTTCATGGCTGAAATAAGCTTAAAACTCAAAACCTTAACTTAAATCATACCCAAAACCATTACACTCTTACATAGGAAGAAAGGGACATTCAAGCAAACATTTTGAGGAATCTATAAGACCTAAAACACATGAAAGGATAGCTAATGTGATTTGGTGTCACACCCCCGAACCAGACGGCTGAAACGTCCGAGGGCTCGCGTGACTTAAATTGAATATCATCACAATGAATATACATGAATCAGAACATAAACATCACCATGCATCAATGTATTACAACTGGAATTGTTCACATCAAGTACAGTGGTTTAAAATTTCAAATCCATACATACATTGTTTGATAGATTTCAAAAGCAAAAACTCCTTAACACACTTGGTACTTATTCCTCGGCTTAACTGTTACCTGAAAATACAAGTTATTTTGAAAAGCGGTCAACATATGAAATGTTAGTGAGTTCATAAGTACGTTGTGTTAAAATGATTCGTGTAGTTTGCAAAAACCCAGAAAATCCGACATTTTATGAAAGGACCATTGTTTAAAAAAAGTGTGAAAATCCGTACAATATGCATGATGATTTCAAAACATGTATAATTGAAGAAATTAGTATTAAACATACAAGTTAAAATGTTGAACTTTCTCAAATTGTTATTCCGCCACAATGAATGATTTTGATTACTCTTCCTTGATTGCTCGGGTGGTGTTGGATTAATTAAGGTTTGTGAGTTGTTATAAGCAAGCATTAGAAATGCCTAGTTTATAACTACAGTTTACGAACGATCCTTAGAGGCATAGCCCGTTATAACTTACTTAATCCAACCACCTTGATTACTCTCGATTATCGCCTAAATCTATTTACGTCGGTTACTCATAAGTCTAGCAAACGAGGAAAAAGGAGGGGGACAATCCTGTTACTTCCGTGAGTTTACTTTAGGCCATCAGGGATGCGAAAGACTCGTTGGCCCATCTCGCATTTGATTACCTTTACCTTACTGGCAATACTATTGGATCACTAAGACCCAAAAGCATTTGAGAGCCATTTAAGGTCCCTTTATATGGAATTGGACCATAGGAGGCGCAGTAACACGTAAGTGTTATCCCTTTGGGCCCAAAGATCATGTGAATGGACTTGCAAGGTACAACAAGCATGATTTGAAACTTTTAAGCCCAAAGTTTGAATAATTACTCGTTTTAGGTATCGCTTAACCTTTTGTAGGGTTTGATTTAATGGTTGTTGTTTTGTATCGATTCGAGACCGATCGATTTGTTTATACGATATTTGGAGTTATACGTGTATTTGTCTTCCAAATTTTGTCAACTGTAGATTAGTATTTTTGACTCTATCTTGTATAAATAATATAATTGATTCAAAAGTAGTGGTTTGACCTTTTCAGCCTTTTCTTTTGTAAAATGAAAAATTTAGTCCTTAATATAAAAGAAAAGACATTTTTACCCCTTAAATCATTTTCTTGACACCTTTGTATCATAAATTTGTCGAAATGATGGTTTTAACTTAAAATTTATTTTGTTAACTGTTTAAGTTTTTTTAGAATAGTAATTTTTGCCTAAAACCCAACTTTTCATAATTTTTACAATTTTGGCCCGAAATGCAAAAACTTTACATTTTTTTTCCTTCTTGGAAATGAAAAGAATTTTAGACCCTTGAAATAGTTTTATTACCCTTTGTATCCCCTATTTTGAAAAAAGCTTCATTTCAGCCCCTTTAGTTGTCATTTTTCGGAATTTTTGGGCTTATTGGGCTAAAAGGCCCAAAATTAGCCCATTAAGCTAAAAGTTCACATTTCAAGTCCTTTGAAAATTTCAATATTTAGAAAAACAATTATGGAAACTATTTTGACTCTTTTGGCCCTTAAGAAACCGTGATTTGGCAACTTTTGACCCAAACTTTTGTATTTTTGACAATTTAAGCCTAAAAATGGGTTTTATGTTGAAGTATGTTTAACACAATCTTATAAGTTATTATTCTTCACTTGTTTCATGTAAAATAACTTAGATCATGTTTGTTTACTTTCTCATGTCATGGATCTCGAGTTAACACCCCTTTTTAGTTACATGTTCATCACAAAAACACATGAAATCATACATACATGCCTAAAATCACACATAGCATACACATACACATAGATATACACATTTTATTGTATTCTCCCACATAAAACATAAGAAAACCGAAAAGAGAGGGGTATGAAACTCACCTTGAGTTGTGGTTTCGGTTTTGAAGAGAAAAATGAAGAAAGTTTCGATCCTAGCAAGTCTTACTAGAAGATCTCGAATTTAGAGGCTTCTAAGATGCAAGATCACAAGCTTGAATAGATTTAGAAGAGAGTTTTGATGAAATGAAGTAGCTAGATCATGGATCCAAGCATGATTTTACCTTAGATGATGACATTATAGGATAACCTCCTTGAAAAGCTTTCTAATCTCGAAAACTTGATGAAGAAAGGAGAGAGTTTCTTTGAGAGTGTTTAAGTGAGATGTGTGTGTGTGTGTGTGTGTTTGTGTTGTTTCAGCCAATCAGAAAAGAGAGGAGAAGAGAGAGTAGATGAAGTAATGATTGCATGGAAATATGAGTTATATGCATGGAAATCCAAGAGGAAATAATGAGGTGGCATAGCAAAAGTCAACTTCCATTTCTTCTCCTTTTTTTATATAGATATAGATGGGCCGAGAGAAGGGAAGAAAAAAAATGTTGGGACTTTGGTGCTTAAATCCAAATCATGGGCCCATGTTGATGATTTTCGGCCCATTGGGCTCCTAGGGTGCCTCACGGCCCAACTTGTCAAAGAGAATAAATTTTATGGCCCATTTAGGTTAATTGGATTTGTTATGGCCCAATAGAGCCCATTAGGGTATTTTATTTCATTTTAGGCCCAATATGGCCCAAAATGTTAAAATAAATGAAGGTGGGTTTAATTTAGAGCCCATATAAGAGTTCCAAGCCCAAAGATATCAAATTGGAAACTTATTGGTCCATTAGGCTCAATAGGGAAATCCTAGTCCAAAATGGACTTAAACCGGGATTTCTAGGGTTTCTAATTGTTTGTTGATTATTTGCAGTGCTTGTATGAAGTGTTTGATTGATGTTTTGTTGTTATTGACTAAGCATCATACATGCTTTCACATTATCGGTTCACATTTGTTATCATTGTTCAATGTTTACAAGGCACCAAATTCCTAGTTGTGACATCATCCCCCCGTTGGAGGGAATTTCGTCCCGAAATTCTTTTGAAAGCTAGATTTGAGAATGCGAGAATACGTGAGGGTACTTCTGCTTCATCTGGTCTTCGCGTTCCCATGTGAATTATGGCCCACGCTTCACGTTCCACCGTCCTTCACAATCGGAATGCGACTTTGCTTAGTACGCTTCACCTCCCTGTCCATGATTTCGATTGGTTCTTCGACGAATAGGAGATTCTCGTTGATTTCTATTTCTTCAAGGGGAATGACGAGGCTTTCATCGGATAAGCAGTTTTTCAAGTTTGA